TTGGACGAGTCGCGGGTTTCGCAACGATCGTTGCCACGTATTGTGAGCGGCCGATCGATCGCGTATAGATAGACACTTAGCTCTCCTGCCCTACGTCATCGGGACGAGTTTCACGTACGTACGCGTATACACGTATACGCGTATACACGTATGGGCAGAGCGGAGAGCGCGTGTACACACGGCAGACATAAATGCGTATGCGACGACGACACCATGACGACGTGCCTGTGGAGGGGCTGTACTTTCGAAACAAGGCCACTATAACCGGCGATACGCATTGTCCAGGGACGTGCGAATTTATGTGTACACGCGTGTTTTGGGAAGGCCGGCTCGATCTCGTTTGGCGCGTGAATCTCGTAACGCGATTGGATGTTGGCGCGATCTCTTGACTCCAACGCACGGAAAAAAGTGGTCTTAAATCGAGACGTTCTCAAAGCAATGACATAATCTTAAAAATTTTAAGCTTTTGACTTTATAATGATGCAAGTATTACTTTTGCTTAATTCAAGATTAGAAATCTACATGAGGATTATAATATTCCTACTTATATATGAGAATATCTATACTTGCTTCGATATTCAAATTCAGTTAAATCAAAACTAAGATTTGTTTAAGATTTTAACATTCTTGCTTATATATGAATGTGTAATAATTCTTGATTTAAAACTAATTTTTTTTCTATGCGCTCAAGAAAAAAATTCCGAGTGCGAGTGAAGTTAAACTATTAAATAAATAAGGTTGAGTTGTTGAATAGATAGTTGAAAAATATTAATTTCTTTTAAACTTTTTGGAACCATTAGAAAAAGAAGAAAATGATTTGCCTAATTTTTCGGTATGAATTTGAGTGTTTCTGATTCTCTTTAAGATATCTCATGCACGTAATTCTCGATATAGAAATTTAAAACAATGTTTACGTACTCGAGAGAGATAAAGAGAGGTAAAGGGTGAAGCTCAGTGAGCGATAAGATTAGGCTTGATTTCTTCAGCTTCTTTCCGATGATGATTCCAATCTTCACGTGATTACTGATTGCTTTGTTGAGGAGGAAATATGCGAAACGTCTTTGAATCACTGCCTAGGCTCGTGCGTTTTAACTGTGAGTCATCGAAAATAATAAAATTTTATTTTAGCGACAGAAGTAGCGTAAACATCGTAGATATATATATATTTATATATATAAATTTTTGTTATTGCCGTTCTCTATTGGTCTAATCACGTAACCGCTAGTTATTATCTATTCTTAAATAAAAATTTATTCTGATATGCATGTTTCTGCATACATGTACGTTAACCTTTTCTATTTCACAAAGCTACATAATACACTATGCAAATATATTCTACAGAGTCTAAGGTTAGCAACATTTTCTCAGTGACGCACCTATGAACGGGAGCCAATCCAACGGAGCCAAACGATCAGATATTTGATGAAAAAAACCAATAATCTAATCGATTATTGATTTTTTTCGTCAAATATCTGATCGTTTATCAGATAAAGATAAATTTGTATGACGCGAATTGATTAGAGTTTCATTCGAATATTCAGCTGAGAGTAATATCTGTTTAAGCGAGATTAATGCATTTAATTTCAGTCATAGAAGGAGGATGTAAAAAATTGAAGGATATTTAATTTATTATTAAAACATTGAATTTTGTGTTAAAATTAACCTAAGATTATTTCATTCCGAACGGATAATTTCAGAAAGTCGACGAGATATATAAGAGTAGAATATGTAAGAAGCGCATTGTCTCACTATGAAGAAACCAAACGCTGTCACTTCGCACAAGTTTCCTTGATTCAAGTCGGAAGGTCTTTGAATATCTTGACATTTTTTTCGCTTCCACCTCGGTTTCCGTTTCGCGCGGCCAAATTTATTTTTTCAGAAACAAGCTCGTTTATCGAGAAACAGCGGGAAATGCCGCGCAGTTTTTCCGAGTAGCGACCCGAGTCGCGAAAGCCGCTCCGAATAAATCGCGAGCGCACGGCCCTGATCGAGTGTGACTAAGCCTCGGCCGCCTACATGCGTGATGCGATGTGTCTGTTACGGGGAAGGAGAAGGAAGAGAGAGAGAGAGAGGAGGGGAAGAAAGAGAGAACGCACGTTTCCCTCCTCATCGCTCCGTCGTTTCTCTCCTCCTCGCGCGATCTCTCGCGAGAATGGAGAGACGTCGCTGGTCCTCAGCGCTGTATCGGATCCGTCACGGAAAAGTACCGGTCACACATCTATCCGGTGGCACTCTATCTATCCTTCTGCATCCCTCTCTCTCTTTCTCTCTCCCTATCGGCTCCGTATACCGTAGGCGAGGCCTCGCGGTGACTCGCGCGCGTATATACACACCGTCGGACGGTGACGCGGGGCTTGCGGCGGCGGGGGGAGGAGGCGGGGAGAGAGGGAGGGGACGGAGGACGCGTATCTGCACGCGCGATTGCGTGTCACCGCGAACAGCCGTGACCGAATGATGACTCTTCCCGCTCGCTCCGATAAGTCGGCCGTTTGTTAGTAGTACAGCGGTAGAGCCGTTCGTTCCTCGCCACGTCGCCGTCGCCGGACTTCTAACCCTTTCCGAGCGAGATGCATCCGACGTTTATATATCGAGGCGCCTCGTACACGGCCGCCGTGTTGTTGATACACAGGCACCGCGCGCGTATTTTAGCTCCACGGTTAAAAATAGCGTTTGACGGACGAGTATGACGTTTCGTATTTGCAAAAGAAAAAAACGATGAGGCGAAGGGAGGACGGAGCCGCTACCGTTACGGGATCTCTTTTTTCGATTGATAGATTATGTCGGTTTATAAAAAAATATTTTTTTCAATTATTTCGAATGATTAAGAGAGGCGTTTCTATAGATTTCTGGTTGCCGCAAGCTAAATCACTCCACCACTTTCCACTCCAGGTGTAAAATAATTGAGAATAATTGAGATTTAATATGCAAAGTGGTTTTGCGATATTTCAAGACTTTTTATAAAAGAGATTAACGAGATATTCTTGAGATATTCTTGATATTCTGATCAAAAATCATGATTGTTCCACTGTTCCATAATAAGTTGATCCACTATAAGATGTATATTTTTTTTATATCTTACTTTTTAATTACATTACACAAAATTTTAAGTAAAGAGTTTTGCTAAGATAGATAATATAGACTTTTGCAAAATTCTGTATTAAAATTCTTCCTAACATGACTGCAAAATAAAATACCATATTTTTATCGCAAAAAAAACCATTTTTATATATTAAATCTCAATTATTTTGCAAATCTGACATGAAAAGGTTTAACTTCATCACTGTCGGTATCGAAAAATCTATAAGAAACACTTTGTCTGATTCAAAATAACTTTTCGTAAACTAATTGTTATAGGATATATATCTGTGATGTGATTATAGAACAAATTTTTAGAAAGTGATCCTGTTCACCGAGGACTATTACGGACACTTGAATTTTATCCGGCGGATTAGCATTCTGTTCACGATCGTTTCGAGTACGAGATCATATGCGCGTCAATCAAATATTGATGATTGATCCGTCGGTTTCGTTATTAATCGTCCTCTCATTAATCATATTAATTTTCCAAAATTTTCCGTCGTAATTGCGTTGTAATCATCTAGCATTATTTTCGCGCCGATATTCCAGGGTCAGTGCGAGAATGCCACGTGCGCGCTTTTCGAAAGTAACATACATGCAAATCAAGACTCCAAGATTCCTCGTAAACAAGCGCTATCGCGCCACTTTGTTTCCGAAATTTCGTTTATATTTATAGTTATCGAGCGTGGACAAATCATTTCGGTCGTTCGCGATAACATATGTGCACCGGGACGTCCTTGTATTCCACGGACGGGAAAAGAAGAGAAAAAGAAGAAGTCAGCCGATATCAAAAGCCAATACCCACGATACGCGCTAAACATAGAACAACTCAAACACGGAATATCGCAATATTTCAAAGTTCGATTGATTTCGCTCGAATTATTCGCCCGTAATCGCAAAGCGTCCGGAGCCTCGGCGCGCGGCGAGAGGAGAGAAAAGGGGGGAGGGGGAAACGCTAAAGTTTCGAAAGTTCCGGTCGGTCGAGGAGTATCTGGAATGTATATCGTTGTACGAGTATAATGACCGTACGTGAGCGGAAATCCGTCGAGGCCCCGAAGACGACGACGCTTGTCGTCGCTGTCTGTGACGCGCGCGTGAAGGCGTCGCGCCAAATGTGCGTAAATTGAAGTATCGAGTATATATTCCGCTTGCTCCCGCGACGAATCGTGATCGCGATTGGCAGCGTTGAACGAATCGCGGGAGACGATCAGCGTGAAGAAAAGGACATACATACGTCGCACTTATTATGCCCGTCATATCGCGCATTATGTTCTCGGAAAACAAGCCGTTCCGCTTAATCCCCCGAGCCCGAGTTGACAATTCCCGGAAGATTGATCTCGGCACACACGCTGAACGGGTTCGGTAAAAGGCGGAAATTACAAGCTTCGATATCGTTTCTTCCGTCGAGTCGACGCGGGAGACCTGTCATTTCTCTGTCGGGCTTTGTCGGGCACCGAATGAAAGAGGCGGCAAAAGCTACTTTCCAAGTGAGGAAAGAGCGGAGTAAGCGAAGCTCGTAACCGCGTGATTTTGCCTCGATTACGCCGAAATATTCTTTTCGATTTTACTTGACGATTCGATTCCACGTGACAAACTTTGTGTGACAAAATAAGTACTCAATGCAAAATAAAACTCGAGATTTAAGCAATAAATAATAAGATAAAAGTAGGCTTCGTTAATGCGCAATATATATTATAATATTTTTTTGCAATATAATCGTTCCGAATTAGTAAATATTATTAGTATATTATTAGTAAATTCTATAAAAAGCGTAAAAAATACAAGATTTAGTCCATCGAGTAATGACTTCTCTCTGATCTATTTTTTTTGATGATACGGTTTTCCCTTTCCAGTGAACTACGCGATGATTTGATTTTATTCGTAATCTTGACAAGCTAAATTTGAAATTATAATACCACAATTATTGACAATTAACTTTAATATTACTGATATATTAATTGAGCGCCTTCTCTCAAAATCTACAAATAATTTGTTGCAAAAAACACCACCTTCAGTCAGAAGACATCATCCGGGGTTATTTAAATCCTGTTTAGCTCGCAGATCACGGGGACAAGCGAGATACATGCAGAAGAGTCACGTGTAGAGGCTGTAACGCCGATAGAAATTATATGCCGTATGTGACACGATAAAAGCGTGGAGTGACTGAAAGAAGTAATCGGCCCGCGATACATAAAACATCGGGTAAACGATCGGCGCGTGTCGAAGGCCAATGACGATACGACGCAATACGGTAAACGTGGCCGTGTCGTGATGATATGTCGCCCGTAGTCGTTGCCCGTATGCGACTTGCGTGTTAATCGCCTTCCCTGCGATTCTTAAGTGGCTCGTCGAGTAAACATTATCAAAATGCATCGCCTCGTGACAACGCGCGGATTTACAACCGTCGCGAATAAGGCCGTCCTTTCGATAGGAAACGTAGATGATGAAATCGATCGAAAGCTCGAGATAATAATTGAACGAATAATTTGTCTGCATAGAAACTAATATTTTTGCGGTAAAGACAAATTCCCGACATTTAAAGTTGCGAAAGTGAAGTGTAGTCCTTTTAGAGTTTCGAGTACGTGAGTATGTAGATTCATCCTAAACGATAGAGACACATTGGATGCCTTCTATATTTAAGTTTACAGCGATTTAATTGACATTAGAATATTTTTCTAGAAACGGACTGTCTCCGCTTGCGGAGAAGTCAAAGGTCAAATATATTTTAACTTCGTAACGATTAGGAGGAGTATTTTAGTTTCCGGAATTTTCTCGACGAGGCGCGAAGTTCCACCGCGGGTACCGCGGAAATCTCGATTCGAGGTCCATCGAGCGACCTTGAGAAATACCTTACGCTCCTACGACGTAATCGAAAGGTGCGCGGATTCGGAAGGTAACGATTCGCTTGTAGTCTCGCCTCGTAGCTCACGATCGTCTCGCCGCCATTATCGGCGTCGGGGAGAAAAACGACATTTATTTCTGCTCGCCAATGAAGTCATTGTGCTATAAAGGCGATTATTATAAGGAGGGAAACATTCCGCGCAGATTGCAAAAAGTGGAGACGTGGGCAAGGACAATCTCGACACTCGCGATAAATCACGGTCGCTCGTCGTGCCGCGCGGCGGTATCGATCACTCGCGTTTCACCCTCGAGGGGAAAACCCCTAACAAACTTACCACCATCGTTCATCCACTTTCGTGGATCCAAGAATTTATATTTTAATAAAGAAATACGAGTTTAATGTTATTAAAAGAAGTCGCGTCAAACAGTAACTGGGAGAACGCCTATTTAAATTTGATTAGTAGGTTGTGTAATTACTCTCTGCTTTACGCACGTTGAAAATAATAATTTAGGAGTTTACCTTGAAATAAGACGCTCGAATTTTGAAAGAAAAGAAAGTATGATCCATATATTTTATTTAAAGAAAAGAAATTGGAAGAAAATGAAACTGTATCTGTCTTGTATTTTCATAATTTCATAATTAATGCGTCTTTTTGGGGGTAAACTCCTGCGAAGATTTTTTTTCTTAAATGTTCGTCTCGGAAAATTCCTAGTGCCTGATATTTTGCTTATCGTACTGATTTATCCTTGCCTATATATTAAGAAGCATGTTTTTGACGATATGTATATTTTCAGGGGCATATGTTGGGCCATCCATACCGTTGGCACCGGCCAACGTTGCGGCCAACGGTGGAGGATCGCCTCTTCGTCCAAGAACGAGTCCTCCACCGCCGCCGCCGCCGAGCCAGGAAGGCGCCAACGATAATTCGCAATCGAATCATCATCAGGTATGTACGAGCCGCGCGTTAATTATCAGCTCAGCGCAGGCCATTCATAGCCGACGATCCATATTTATCTGTGCGTGACCAAACATTTCTGCGTGCCTTCTGGCCTGCTCGAACGCCCACGCGAGCGAGTCCATTATAAACTCGTAATCTTAGAATGCCAGCTGAAACGATAACGCTTTCAGAGCTCAACGAATGGCCCCTCACCGATGGCCGCCCTAATGTCAGTCGCTGACAATCTGACGTCACCCGAACCGGTGCCACAGCCGCCGAACAATCCCAGTCCCACCAGCAGAAGTCCGCCGACCACGGCCACAAATGCTCAACAACGCAGTGCTTCTAGAGGCTCTCAACACAGCCCGAACAGTTCAGGTAATTATACACATTGTATCTTTTACATTTTACCTCGATATAATTATTCGTGTAGGGTTCACTGATTAGACTGAGTTAGATCTAGAACGCAACGAAGCGTGTCGAATAACGGTCGTAAACCGGGTAAATTTGCAGGCTCATCGGGTAGGCGGTCCAGTAGTTCAAGGCAAGTCTCATCGACAACCGTGACGACGTCTTCGGAGGGTGCGGTCGCTCAAGCTGCCGGCGCGGAACCTGTTACAGCGCCGACTCTCAAGTGCACGCTATGCCAGGAACGCCTAGAGGATACGCACTTCGTGCAATGCCCTAGCGTGCCGCATCACAAGTTCTGCTTCCCGTGCAGTCGGGACAGCATAAAGAGGCAGGGTGCCGGCTCGGAGGTGAGCACCCCGGACATACTTCTTCTTTTAGTAGCTTCTCTCGATACAATATTCTGTCGACGGTATTCATCAACGGTTTTCGTTTTCATTTTTTGTTTCAGGTTTATTGTCCGAGCGGCGAGAAATGCCCGCTGGCAAACAGCCAGGTACCGTGGGCCTTCATGCAAGGCGAGATCGCCACTATCCTGGGCGAGGATACCACGGGCACCGGGCTTAAAGTTAAGAAGGAGAGAGAAACTTAAAGACCCTCTTTCAATGTCGAATCAGGGCTCAATTTTCTGTCTCTCTTTAAATAGAGGGGCTGTTATATGGTTGGAACCATGAAGGGTTTCACCGAACGCTTTTGGTAACGGTGATAAAGACTCGTTGGCGACACGCGGGAGAGCCAACGAACGACTTGAGCCAAAGACGTTGTCTGGTGCGATACGGATTCTTCTCATGAAGTGTTGACGTCAATGATAAAGGGGGTTGTAGGGGTGAAAACAAAGAAAGAGAGGGTAGATAGGGTTGGGGGAGGGAAAGTGGACGAGTTGGTTTTAGTAGTTGTGATCGACGGTTAATGACGCATTTAGATGATGTGATCGGTATCGTTACGGTATTTTATCTTTCGCGGCCGGTTCTGAGAAGAAGTCTTTGGCAAATTGCATGCTGGCGGTCGATTGTTCTGCTGCACACATGTACATACGGATTTCGTAGAGAGCGGTTAATTGACGCGATGAAGGCAGCGCATTATTTTTCGCGGAGCAAGAGGAGCAAAGCGCGCGCGCGACGTTGAAACCGCGACGGCGATGGTGATGATAATTTGTTGCCCGGTTTGGGTTTGTACTTAGGCTCGATACGCCTTTTTTCATTGTCTCTTGTACCGCGAGTTTTGACTCGCGTTCTTTTACACATTTACAATACACAAACACGTACAACACGATACAACACAGGCACGAGCATTCATACAAATATTCGAGACACACTTCACGCACACTTTGAAACGGAAACATTGACTTGATATCGCGAAACACACGCGACCGCATTGTATTTTTATTTTTTCTTCTTCGCGCGCGTCCAATACGACGATTGGAATCGTGGATTTAACTAATGACTAACGCGAGAGACAAATTTCGTCTCCGCGACTATCGCCGCCTCCTTTTTCTATTCTTTCGTTTGTATACTCTTTCTACCTATACTCTTCACTCGTTGTATTGTATAATAAACATATTATGGCGGACAATTTGGACCCAACGCACGGGTTTTCTGTACATTGTGTATATGTGTACATACTTATATTATTAATAAAACGTATGACTAAAAGAATTTTTAACATTTTTTTAAATGTACAAAAATCTATATTCGTTTTTGCGTTTTTTTTTTTTATTAAATTATTATCCTCTGTCTCTCTCTCTCTCTCTCTCTTTCTCTCTCTTTCTTTCTCTCTTTCGTTTCATTTTTCTTTTTTTTTCGTGATCGAAGTTGTATGCTGTCATCTCCGAAAAATGCTTTTTTTTGGCGCGTAGAGGCACGCGATATCTTCCTTATTTGTTTTCGATTTTTTGCTCGCGAAGACGCACGACGTTTTATTTGCGTTCCGTACAATCGCGCTCGTCCGGTCTTCGGGGAAGAAAAAAATAAAAAAAATGTAGAATCACGTGAGACACGTGAGCATATCGCGCCATCCAGTTACTTCACAGAGAGGATTACGTAATATAATAAAGTCCAACTGTGCAACGTCCACTTTCGCCTTTAGTTTATGCGCTAGACCTTAAGTCGAGGGCCTTTTGGTTTTTCATTTTCACCGATGAAAAAGGCACGCCCGTCAAAATAGGAACCACATACTCGCTATGTCTAAACGATAAAAAAAAAAAGAAAGAGTAAAGGGAAAAAAAAGCAGGCAGAGACACTCGCTGGACGCGCCCGAGGGGGATCTGTTTTTCCGCGTGACGATCGAGAACGATCCTCTCGCGGAAAGGGGTACCCTTTTTTTTTCTCTCGGGCGCGCGCGCGCGGGCGGCTCCTTTTGTATATATTTGTACAAAACAGATCGGCACACCTACACACAAGTACATACACACACATACACACATAAGCGAAAAGGGAGCGGTTGTCGAAAGTTGTCGCGAGCAGGAACGAAGCGCTTGGAAAAATATGAGGATAAAAAAAGGGGAAGCTTCGTCGCAAACGGATTTTATTGAGGTTCGAGATATCCTCCGATTCCTCATCGACGACATGCTCCCTCGATTCAACGGCGACGGGTGATATTTCGAAGCGACGGTCCAAGCGCGTCTAAATTTGTAACGTTTATGTCATACGATCATGAGGTTGCAAATGATGATATCACAGTTTTACAACGTAATTAAAATCAGGAAAGCTATAGGAAAAGAAAGATCAAGAGTGATTCGAACCATCTATGTATACACTTATCGGCAAAAATTAAGGAACGAAGCAATTACCATAGATTGTTAAGTATATTTTATTCGTTCGATGTCAGGCACAGGAGATGCATGTGTGTTTCCCGAAATGCACGTCTCCTGTACCTGATATACATAAGAAAGATACAGAATATATTGAACAATTAATACGCGCGCGCGTGTGTGTGTGTGTGTGTGTGTGTGTGTAATTGTTTAACTTTTGTCGATAAGTGTGTACACGTCGCGCTACAAGTATAAACGCGCTTTAGCGTCGTGCAAAAGCCGCCAACAACAACAACAACAACGAGGATGACGTAGACGTCAAGGGAGCGCTATATTTCTTAGCAATACTTCTTACAGCTGTAACGCGCCGTCCGCCGTCGAGTTTCGGAGTTCAAGAGGACAGCATCCCTCTGGGTCTGGCTTGGTCTGGCCGAGGCTCGACGGCGGCAGGCTCGCATCTTTTTCACGCAGGACACCAGTTTTCTCGCGCGAGCCCGCGCTCTCCTTTTAACGTGCTAAATACGTGATGACCTTTGTATCGGGCAAAACGAGAGAGAGCCTCTCTCGACGACGAGGGCTTGGTCGTCGCGTGTCCAGTCGCATCACACTTTCCGTATATATATATATATATATATATATATCCATTGTATCTCTCTCTCTCTCTCTCTCTCTACCGATGATAATTCCAAAAGAGGATATCTCATTGGGTTATCTCGTTTCGTGCCCGCGCGCGCGGGGCTCTCTCGGAATTTCTCTTTCTCGATACGGCGCTTTATTGTACAAACTCCGTGATACGAATTAATTGTTAATTATCGGAACGATATGCTCGACATTACTCCCCGTCCATCTCCGTTGCTGTCATTGCTGTCATTATCGTTATCGGTCGACTGGAGATGAACGGAATTGGAGCGCGTAGGGAATCGAGAGTGTTGCGAAGCAACACGTCGTACGGGTTACGTCAAAATAACAACGCCGATGGCCCGCGGCGACTTCTTTATCCGTTCTTATTTGTTACATCGACGACCAGGCCCAAGTCGCCAATCTCGGCTTTTTTTTTTCTCTCAATGAGGCGCGCACGGAGGGACGCGCGACAGTCCTTCCCCGATCGAAAGCGAAAGAAACGAGGAACTCTCACGCTCGTAATTCGTTCCGTTTTGTCTCCTATCATCCTCTTTCTTTCTATTTTTTTTTTCCTTTTTTTTCCTTCCTTTTTGAACGATTCTCGTATAGCTATGCAGATACACGAAGAGATATGACGAAACAATACGTCGAATAGCAATTATAGTAGTGGATAATGAAAATTTTCTAGTATACCATACCTCGAGGAACGTGTAACATTGTACTGTTTATCGTATGTATGCAACAAACAAAAAACAAAATATATGTGTTGATGTGAATGATGCGTTTCTTTTATTCTCACCAACCACCTCCGCATCCTTGCGTCCATTGTCCAAATTATGACCTAGATATCTATCTTGAGAACTCTGATAAAGCCGCGAGACAATTTGACCGTTTACGCATATTGAATTGTCGCATATACGTTTGTTATTTATATACTTTTTTACGGAGCTTTCACCGAATATGATAAATGTGAAAATTGTGATTGTGACATATCAATTTTTATTAGCCC